TGAATTCAACCAAATCTTCATAGAGAGGATTTTCCTTGAGCGATTCCCATGATTGGGAGTCATATCGCTCAATTCGTGTCTTTTCATCTAGGACACTCTCGTCCATAGATGAACTACTGAGAACTCTCTCGTTCTCAGTAAACACTGTTGCTGACCTTATGTCGGTTACATACTCGTCGTCAGCGACGAGTATGCAGATCTGCTTGACTTTGCCACTACGCAGATCACGCAAGAACCTTTTATGTTCGAGCGTTGGCAACTGAGTGATCTCCGAAGTTAACTTCGGAGGCGCAATCAGATCAAGTGTATAAGCGCCTACACATGATCCGTTATTGACTATGACATTCAATGTCTCTGTCATTTCCTGGGGACTTATTCCCTCAGGCTTCGAAGGACTTATTCCTTCGTCTTCCCGAGGACTTATTCCCGCGGGTTTCGGGGAACTTATTTCCGCCGTATTTGTAATCTTGGGACTTATTCCCTTTACTTCCTCTAGCTGGGGTTGCGCAACCACAGCGAGATCCTCTACGAAAGACTCTCCAGTCGATCTAGGATTATCGTTTCGCTTAACCTGAGCGATCGATTGCTTCTCTTCTAGATGTTCCCCTCTAGGGACACATCTTTGTCCCAGTCCACCCGACTTATTCGAGTGGTGGACCTTCGGCGCAGCCTGTGTTTCCTCACAGCCGCCGGAACTTTGCTCCGAAGTGTAACCGTTTGGTACACTAAGGTTTTGTGCAGTCGTACTAACGACCGTACCACAAGTGAGGCCATCGCACTCACTCGTAGTACATCCACACGCTTGTGGACGCTCCAAAACGTTCATCAGATGGCCATCTGATGAACAAGCGGCAGGCATCGTTACTGTCCGATGTTGCCAGATTACTCGTGGTTTGTACCTTCTGAGCCACTTTATTCCAAGGATGACATCAAATTTGTCATCCAAATCCAATACGATAAAGTCATCGTCATATTGGGTATCTTCTAGCGTATAGTGGATCTTCACTATACGCTTCATGACGGTTGCGGATGCGCCTGTCGCAAGACGTACCGTCATCCTCGTAGGAGGTGTGTCACATTCACTGAATTTAAAGTGACCATCTTCTAGCGATTGGCGTCGCACAAAATTGTTGGACGCCCCACAATCGACTAGAGCTCGAAGGGACAACTTATTCGTCACTTCGAGTTTCAAGGTAATGAGTGAGATCTCATTACCTAGAGCAGCAACGCACAATGTCTGTGTGTTGGGAGCAACCTTCATCAAGAGGCCTACAAATTCTCTTGACGTTGCTGGATCAGTAGGGTGCTCCGCACCTACTGATCCTGTCCGTTTTTTGACGGTCCATCCCGTTGTTGCGTCTTTGCACCAACTGCGGACCCTCGTCCCTGCCCCTTTCTCATGGGTGGACGGTCACTACGCCCAGTGTCGCGAGACACTGGACGAGGGGCACTACACTCGTAAGCGTAGTGTCCTGTCTTTTGACATCTGTTGCATCTCTGCAACTTCTTGTAGCCTGTAGAGCGAACCTTCTCGCTCTCTACATAACAGAGTTCCATCGGCTCTGGACCTCCGTTGTCATATCGTCTCGGTTGACGATATGATGTCGAGCTGGCGCGAGCCTGTCTCAGACTGAAGTCTTCCTGCTCCGCAATTGAAATGGCTTGTTCTAGTGAATCTAGTTCAAGCCGGAACAGGTGAGTCTTGACGGGACCATCCGCAAGACCCTGCATGAACACCGAAACCAACGTGTGTTCATCCACCGGATTGGAACTTATACAACTCGTGAGATGTCGTATATGTTGAGCGTAAGCGTGCACATCACGCTTACCCTGCTTGAGCTTCAAGAGTTCGGTTCGAGCTCTGAACTCAGCTCTAGGCGGTTCAAACGTTTGTCTGAGCCGCGACTTGAAGACTTCCAACGACCCAAACGCATATGGGTCGTGCAGCTTGAGCCCCAGTGCCCAAGTCTTGGCACGTCCTGCCAGATTTGACTGGGCAAATGCAACTTGCATATCCCCGTCGTCGATGCGACGCGCCCTTATGGCGTCATCCAATTCGACGAACCATCTCAAGAGGGAGTCTTCTTCGACCCCCTATACTTTGAGATGTCAATCTTCAAAGTCTCGGGCCGACGCGAGTGCATCGACCCGCCAGCAGCAGCCTGCTGCTGTCTCAACAGTTCAAACTGTTGAGCACCTTGTTCTCTCAACAACTCTGCTTGTTGAGAACCTTGTTGGTGAAGCAAGGCTACTTTCTCGCGTTCTGCGTCAAGTTCATTTTGAATGAACTTGGCGATAGTAGCATGTTGGGCATCTCTATTGAGAGCCTCTAGCATGACGCTAACAGCATGGATGCCCATGGTCGAACCCATTCGTTCAACCGCATCCCATTCGACATCGCTCAAATGGGAGTAGCCGTCACGCGTAGCGTGAAAGCTTTGGTCATCTTCATCATCCAACATGTTCATGTTGGATGTGAACGCGGTCCTTGGACGGACTACAAAGTGCTACCAGGTGTAACGGGGCACCCTGAAGCTTGTACTGGTGACAGTACAAGCTACTTATTCTGATAACAGAATAAGGCGGTGCCTCGTAACTTCACGTACACTCGTACGTGCAGAGGAAGACGGTAAGAAGAAGCGAGTACTCGGTTAGAGTAAAAAGTAGAACTGTATTTATAATAGTTAATGTCTGCAATAAATCACTATTTATCTTCATCTAACTATGTCTAAATACAAATGTGTAAATCAGTTATCTGCTCACCACTCATTGCGTGCGTCTGTCGTGGCGCGTCTTCGTTGGTTGATATAATGGCCTATATCAACCAATTAGGAACTACTTGGAAGTGCTACAGAATATTGTCCTAATGACAATATTCTGAGAATATAACTCTTATAGTTATATTCTATTAACAATTTCTTATAAATTGTTATGTAACGATTCACCCCGTTACAAGCGGTCTACCATTCTTGTGGTCTTGATCACAACATGCGTTGATTATCTACACCTTCCTGATCTACATGTACTGCTAGGATTGATCCATTCATATCACTAGCTTCAGATTGACCCGCACAGATGCTCCTGTAAACTGATCATCAATTCCAACCACAATGTCCGTTCGATGAGTCACCCATTTTTGTATAACGTCGTCAAAACACTGCAACCTCATCTGTCTCATCTGACCTGCGACTTTATTGCAGGGATTACCCTACGGCTAAATACCATTCTCAGCTACCGCAGGATTATGTGAGATCGACACCTTCTTGTTCAAGCAAGAAACCATGAATGGTGTTCTATGATAGATAATCTCCGATTTCTGCTGACAAATTTTGATGAACACATAGGTCTTAAAGAATTATTGTTGTATCCGCAAACGCTCGTCGATGTGAGATAGGTTTCATGTTCATATTCATAGAGTCCACTAACTACCGATAGAATGTGTCAAGATTTATGAAACGATCCAGGGCTGAACGGCGTGCACACTACTGAAAGAATCTCCTTGATCCAATTTACGAAGCACATCACGCTCATCCAAAGTGTAGTAAATATTCGCGCTTAAAAGATGGTTTGCGACCTTTCAAACAGAAAGTGTCTATTGCATTTATTTTACTGAAGGTAGAAGACGGCACAACAAGTGCATGGCGACATACATTATAATGTCGCATGCGTGACAGGAAAGCGTTCATCCACAAACTTGTAATTTCTATACGTGCTACTACCCAAACGACCACGTCACTATGTCGTTTCAGTGCAAGGTAAGTGCAACTATCACTGTCATTGCTGACAATGTCTTTGTCTCGTACAAAAAAATCGTTACCAATCAAGTGGCGAGCGGTGCAGCGCCAGATATTGCCCGTCGTATCGACATCTTTCGTTGTACGCGAGAGTATGGCCGCATCACTGATTTTGCACCACGAACAAGCATCGATGATCAAATCTGACTCAATGACTGCAATACTACTGAGAAGGGGTCCGCTTTTGGACATGATCTGTGACGTGTCACGATGCATCGTGCTGATGCTATCGTAGTGATTCGCTATTCATCGTGGTTTGGCACTCAAGCGACGCACTGCTATCAGACAACGTGCTCGATCGCCCATCGATTCCTGTAGGAATGCATAGATTGCTGTACTAGTTACCCAAGTGTGGCGACAGACCAACAGACTTGTCCCCGAATGTGAAAATCCATAGCTCCAATTGAAAACAACCAAACTGCTGCGAGGTAGTTAATGGTGATGAGTCGAACGTTTCGCACGTTTAATTGAGAATGAAATAATATAGATTTGTACACATTTACGTTACAATTTGTGGGAATTGATTACTTTAAACAGCTCGCCTGGGTGTGTACGCGTCAAAGAGTGGGCGAGTACTCTTAATTTCCTAAATTTAATAGACAGCTTTTTGTATTTACGTTACAACTTATGGCAGAAAATAAATCTATACAGTTTGACTGGGAGTCACGTCGTGTCAAAGGGTGATCGAAGATCTTGGATCTGTTTAATTTAGCAGCTTCTATTTTTGTGCATTTGCATTACGATTTGTGGCATATGATCAGCTGACACAGTTTGTGTGGGTATGCGCGCATCAAAGGGTATGTGGGTGTAGGAGGTACCTCTCGATTTCCTTCGAAATTCGTCATTGGCATCATGCTACGCTACATCGATCAGCACAAGAGCGCTTCTGTGGACAATAGTCACCATGTGAAAGAATAACTACAAAAATGAGCAGACAAAGTGCGCTCACCTGCTACACACTGTACCATTCAGCGTTTGTTCATCAGATTATGAAACTCGTGCATAACTTGTACATCTCTCTCTTTCTCTTTTTCTTGACGACCAGCCATGCCTGTTCAGACGTCACATTGTTTAGAAACGAAGCTAGAAACAGCTTCTGCCACCGAATCACAAACCCGCCGCACGTCCTTTGTGTCTCGAAATGATCGGTCCAGACCCGCAGCACCACACGTCATTCGTCAAAAAGAACCAAATCGCCTCCCGAGCATGTTGTGCAGTCTCTGTGGGCAAGTGCCAGTCGAGCCCGTGGTGTCGCTCAAGTCGGGCCACGTGTTTGAGAAGCGCTTGGTGCTCAAGTACCTCGAGCAGAACCAACGTTGCTGTCCCATTACGAATGAGGAGCTTGACGCGGAGCGGGATCTGCTCGCGCTACAGACTGCCACGTCGAAATTGACGGGGGCGAAACCAAACGCGGCGATCTTGTCGCCTGAAGCATTTAATGTCCCTCAATTACTAAGTACGTTCCAAAATGAGTGGGACGCCGTGATGCTCGAGACGTTTACACTCAAGCAACATCTCGAGCAGACGCGGCAGGAACTGAGTCACGCTCTGTACCAACACGACGCTGCATGTCGCGTGATCGCCCGTCTGAACGCCGACAATGCGACACTCCGCGACCAAGTCGCGCGATTGGCCACAAACGAATCGCGAGCGCACAACGAGGTGGACATGGACGGGCCAAGTGCAACTTCAACATCTGGGGGGTCTGTTCTGGCGGCCGATATACTGACGATTATTGAGACGACGCAGAAACAGCTGGCCACGTGGCGGAAAGATTTTCGAAAGACAGACGGGCCACAACGCGCGGCGCGTCTCACGGAGCTAAACAGCTGGCAATGCGTGTCAAGTCACACGTTGCACGACGCTGATAGGTCCGGCGTCACGTGTGTAGCCATTGACCAGAAACGCCCGACCCTAGTGGCTACAGGAGGCGTGGACAAGCACGTGCAAGTTTTTGACACGCAGTCGCAGCAACTGGTGGCGAAATTGACGGGTCACGGCAAGAAAGTCAGTCACGTCGAGTTCCATCCGACAGCCGATCTGGTGGTTACCGCGTCGCTGGACAAGACCGTGAAGCTCTGGACGGCTCAAGACAAGGGGTACAGTGTGGGGTACACGCTCGACGGCTTTGACGATGCCGTCACGAGCGTCTCGATCCATCCCACAGGCAACTACGTGCTCTCTGGCTCGCTCGATGCGACGTGGGCGATCCATGACGTACGTCGTGGCCAGTTGCTCTCCCGCTACACGCTCAGCGGCGAGCTTGCAATGCCTGAAGGAGGAGGACGAAGCAAGTCGAAGCACTTGACGGACGAGACGCGGACCGCGCGCTTCCATCCCGACGGCGGCATCTTTGGCACAGCAGCTAAGAGCAAAGTGGTGCAAATGTGGGCTGTCAACTCGCTGTCGAACGTGGTGACGTTCGAAGGCCACGAGGCACCTGTGACGACGCTGTGCTTTTCCGAGAATGGCTACCACCTTGCATCAGGAAGCGAGGACGGTGTGGTGAAGCTCTGGGATCTGCGCAAGGCCACGAGCTTCTTTGAACTGGATCTGAAGAAAGAGTCTGCGAAGCTCGAGCTTGGATCTATTCACTCGATTAGCTTTGACGCCAGCGGGTCACATCTTGCCGTAGCGAGTGCACAGACCGTACAGGTGCTGAAGGAAGTAAGCAAGAATAGCTGGGAGGTAGTCAAGTCGTTCAGCGACCACAAAGCTGCTGTGACGGGCGTCCAGTTCGCGCCGGACTCGAGTTTCCTGGCATCTACATCTATGGACCGCTCGCTCAAGATTTACAGATAAGTGGACGTGATGGTTGACGCCGTTGTCCGTTAGGCTACGGCGCCAATGATCATGTTGCCTGTGAGGTTGAGCAACCTGGTTTGGAACGAGTGGAGAGAGATGAGAAGATGCTGATGGTGATTGAGGACCATCGGGTGAGTGCAAGAATTGTGAAGCAGATGAAGAACTGTGTGCTGGGGTGATTTACTGGCTGTCGAGGTGTTGCCAGCAATTTTCAGCTGCGTTTAGCAGCTCGGCGGGTCTAGGACGCAACATTACAATGTGCTTGAAGCGAGGTCGCAGTAAGCTGCCGGTCAACATGAATCACTTGAAAGTGACTTGCGATTTGCATGCAGACGCTACACACTGCAACATTAGCAGGGAGTGATTTGCGCACATTCTGATCGACCCTGAAGACGTCGGTGGTGATATTTTGCAGCGCTATTGACAATGCTGACAATGAGTCGACAGACTTGTCAAAAAGCTATTGTTGGCTGGTGATCCTCACGACGTGGCGTCTGAGCTTCAAATTGTTGCCCCTCATGTCTTTATTCCCACGCTTCTCGTGCTGCTGTGTTGGCTGCAAACTGCTTGCGCTATCGATTCACTGACAGCTTGACCTCACAACTTGCTCCAACCGCAAATTCACGCTTATGATTGGCCAAAGTACACACCTTAAAGACTTGCCAGTTACGCACGACCATTTACACTCAAGCAGCCTCTATATTCATACTGCCAAGCCTTACACAATCGAAAAAAACTCGGGATCCTATGTAAACCGCCTGTATTTGTTACCTTTTGTATATTTATTCGTAGTTATCTACAACGTTAGCGAGCGAAGGAACAACAAACATTGCCAGTGAACAACAAAAGGCTATGGTCAGATTGTAGATGATACGGCTTCTATATCGAGTACAAGTCTCCCGTTGCGCAAGAGAGCAGAACACTACTACGTTGAGCTAACGGGTACGTGTCAATCAGCATTCTGGAGACATCACATCCAGCTGTCCATCAGTCACGAGACCAGCAGCCTCGTTAGTCTTTAGCACTGCACATTGCTCGGCGCGCCCGTACAGTTCCCAATATTCGTGACGTTGACAGCGATGTTAGTGAACTTCAAGTTCGAGACAACGTCCGGGTTTGCTTTGATGTCGTAGAGGTTGAGAGCCGAACCGAAGAGTCCGTCGATCGTGATGTTAGTGATCTTAACTAAACTGGTAGGTTGGCCCGAGTAGCCGCCTCGCGTTTTGTTGTAGTCCGAGTGGATAACAATAGCGTGCTTGACGTTCACGAGCCTGTTGTTGATATACCTGACGTTCGTGACGAGCCCTTTGAGGTCGATGATCGTCTTAATACGAAGGCCGTTACTGCTGTTCTCAATCACGTTGTTCAGGACCAGCAAGTTGTCCACAGTCGTGTTGATGTTCTGCAGCGGACCGCCCAACGAGCCAATGGAGATCCCGTGACTCCCGTTGCAGTAGTTAAAGCTGAACACCGTGTTCGTGCTCGACTGCATAGCGAGGCAGTCGTCCTGATTGATCACGCGGTTCCTCGTAATGGTCACGTGGTCGTTCTTTCCAAGGTCGAAGCCGTCCGTGTTCTTCGCAATGCCGTTGCCAGCGCGAGAATCGATCGTGAGATCCGACAACGTCGTGTAGTTTGACGAGAGGATGCTGAAGGTGCGGAAGGGCATGTTCCGGATAGTAAAGCCCGACAGCACAGAGTTCGCCACTTGGTTCAAGCGGAAGAACACGGGCCGCGTGATGTTCTTTCCATACGGCCAGTACCATGCACCTTGACCGTCCAGGATGCCAGGACCCGTGACGGTGAGATTGTTCCCCGTAAGCTTGATGAGCGGACCCTCCCACATCTACAGCAAGCAACAAGAACCACCGACCCAAACGTGAGTCAAAATACATAAGCAGCGAGCTCTTTAGTAAGGAGCAGGTGCCAAGTTACCTCTGGATCAAACGTCGAGATGCCGATAAATTTAATGTAGGCACCGTCAGTGACATTGGTCAAGTTGAGCATCACGCCCGCAGGGACGTGCAGCGAGTCGATGATGATGGTCTTGCACTGCGACACGTCCGTTCCATTGATGTAAGTGCCTTTCAAAACACAGACGCTTTCATCTGGCATCACAAACCCACTCTTCTGTCGAGAACGAGGCACTGGGTACACGATATCAGTCTTTCCTCCTGGTGGCTTTTGCTCCGGTAGGGATCTCTCAGGTAACGGAGACATCTCGCAAGCACTATCCTCGGTCCCATGGTCTCCAGTGACAGCAGCAGCGAACAAAGCAAAGGCGCACAAAGCGAATGAAGAAGATGCACCGAATTTCATGGCCTTCACTTGCTAAGATAAAAGCGAATTGAACAATGACTCGACGTGGAAAAGCGCTGCGCATGAGGTAGTGCAGGTCTTTCATTGTAGGCTCATACCAGAATGCAGTGCAAGATCCTGTGTCAACAGAGAAATTGCATTGCCTCGATTGAATCAATGGTATGTACTTGGTGATGCCGGTAAACACGCTGCAACAGCTGACACACTAACGACAAGTCGTTGAACTAGATCTTATAATTGGTAAAGGAGACCGACAGTTGGTCGATTATCGTCTTCTTTACCGACATCTGGTCGTTGTTTCATTGTCCCTCAACAACACGACAAGAGGCACTCGACTTTAGATGGCACGGCAGTTGTTGTGCTCTGCATGTGTCATCATTGCTAAGCTGTTTGTTGCACCTACCATATTAGGGCTTCATCCCGCGCAGGATGGAGCGGGATTGGCCTATTCGCGTCCCATCCCGCGCTGGACGGGATATTCCGCTGGAAACGGCGGGACGGTACAGCTTTAAAGTCTACTTCTGCACCTTTACTGGATCTAGTCCACCATACATATATACTTGTTGGAATGAAGACAAGCATCTAACATGTCTGTCTAATCTTTAGCAAACCGGCTCCAAAGTTGTTGGACTTTCGGCGGCTCCAAATGCATGCCGAGGTGACGTTGCGGAAGTCTGTCGAAGAGCTGTATCATCTACATCATGATCTGAGGTCGTCGAAAACACCGACGAAAGTGTTACTATTGATGTTCGAGAATTTGTTGATAAAAATTTCCGAGTTGGTATGCGAGCTAAAGTAGCGAAACTGGGAAGATTTAACCACTGGTGTATGGAACACGCAAGGTTGACGGATACGTCATGGCTGCGGGATCGCCGAGGGAATGTCTATAGTCTGAATGAAGCGTTTTTTTGCAAGAGTAAAAATTCACCTGAGAGACGTAATGTCTTGGACAATTTGCCAGAGTGTAATCGTACAGTTCTCGGCGCGATTTGATATGGCAATTCAATCAATGGCAAAAAGTGGCACTTTGATTCGTTCTGCCATTCTATTCTCTACAACTTCCTAACACTCTTGTTTCGTGCAATCGACCCGGGTTGAGTACTTGCGTGCACAACCAAGGTCATTGCTGAATTATTTCGATACGGGCACGGAGTGTGAAGCGACACCAGTCACATCGATGTCCTCGTATGCTAAAGCGGCATCTTGAGAAGGGGGCCGTCCTGTACACTTTGGTGATCACCCCGGATCTCACCCGCGTCGCTTATATTGGGCAGGAAGACTGAGATGGAGGACGAACGGACGCAAAATCAAGCAGTTTACCTCCAAATGGCGGTGCGCAGAGGAAACGACCCTTCGACGAGCGAGTGCCGAAGAGGAACTTTCACGTAATATCTGACAGGACATCGCTAAATACTTGGAGAGAGATACGTCGGGTGCGATCATCTTTTCACACAAATGTGCAAACGCTGTATCGCCTGAAAAGCAACAGATTCCCACACTGCTACGGAACTTGGTCGGCCAGGATGTGTCGTGTCCCACGCTCTGGTGCCTCGTATTCTTCTTTCCGCGGAGAGACAATTATTTTGTACCTGCTCCCGTGCGAGTCGACACTTGGAGCATTTCCTTGTCAGACGGATCTCGCTTGGAGGTTTCAACATGACGGATTTCAAAAAATGGGTGTTTGGGCTTGATCTTCCTGAGGTCCCGCACAAGGCTTAATATGCTATCAAACGAACCTTTGCTCAAAGCATTGAGATAACGGCGGCGAAGGATGCGGTGTTCCTAGCCGTTTTGGAACTCTGGCGTTTTTCCGTCTTCACAACACTCCATGCCATCCGGTTAGAGCGGCTCCGCCGTATGGGCGACCCGTCTTTGAAGGAGGAGACAGAACATCGCCGGAGCCAAGACACGATTCAGAGGGTCCGCATACCAGCCGGACATGAATAAAGACGCAGATCTGTTCGCGTGAGTGAGCTCAGCTTTGGCAGACATTATTCTCCGCGTCAAAGAACCACCAGCGATGCAAGTGTTGCTCATTCGCCGATGCCCGGGAATGACATTTTTGCTTTTCTTCGTCGGTGGATCTCGAGGAAACCACGACCAGGCATGTCTGGGTCAGTTTTTGTCCAACAAACAGTAAGACGCACGTCGCTTGCGTTCTATGGGTTTCGATCATGGCGTATAGCGCTACCGATACCACAAACGATACAGCTGAATTTTGGGCTTGTGCACGGTCTACGTTGCGCAAAGACGTCTGGCTAATCCCGCTGCATATCGTTGGAGGTTGTGCGATAGGGCCCTCACAGCTTCGGACCCATCATCCCCCGCAGAAGGCCAGCTTGGTGTCGCTATTTCGGTAGGCACGTGACCTTGCGGACGATCTTGAAGTGTCTAGATGGAGCCATCACTTTTGCGCTACAACAAAATGGCTGATCGATTAACAAATATCGCGAAGGGTACAACGGACTCAATCTAAGTGATTGTTCTACAGAGCACAGGATTGTTTGGAAGCTACGGTATTCCTTGACATCGATGTCAACCTCTGGCTGGAGGCATCATAAGCAGAATAACATGAACTACTGGGCCCCGCTATGACTCCAAGGAATCTAAATCTCTCGTGGCGTGACTCAGCGCGAAGGCGCTCGGCTATGCGCGGACTAGTACTATCTAGTACATAAAGTAAACGTCGCTATTCTGTAACACTGTTATCAGGCAGCGGGATATAATGGCTCGCAAGCGTACCTGAATGTACCTCACCTTCCAATTACTCACACATGAGTGCCTCCATCGCTGAAGGTACAAAATATTGAGAATAACAGTATAACGGTAAGTCACGATGTAATCAAGGCTTGCCTGTTACAACAAGTGTAGAATCTGAATGCCTGCTCTATCAGATCCTAATCGGTGCCGTTGATGGTACTAAGCAAGTAGTGCTCGTCTAAAACATTGTGCCAACGAAATCAAGCAGACTTACCGCACGTATCAGCACCAACGCGGTTGATGTAAGCGTGTAGCGAAGTCTTGAAGCATCTTTCTGGCGGATACTTTGTGCTATGCAATTGCTCGATAGTGATCTTGACCTTTAGTGGAATGGTAAAACCTCTTGGCGATGCTTTTGAGAAATCGGACAACTACCACAAGAAATTCACCTCACCAAAAGATTAAAGTCGCTCGCCCTAAGAAGATTAAGGATGTCTATCGGATCGTCGCTGCAATGCTTGATCATCTCCATAAAGCATCTATAAGTGTTTTGATGCACGCCTTGGCAAAAAGTCGAATAATGCTAATGAATATTAAACTTGACTATGTATGCACATATTAGAGATGACGGAGTTTTACGCTCTGTTAATTCCTGAAGCATTGCGTGAGTAAAAAAGCAAATCGACGTGACGCATCTTAGTACGGTAATTATAGAATGCGGGATATGCGAGACTCGCGGGATGGGATGCGGGATCCGCAAGATGAAACACTGCGGGATGGAGCCCTACATCACATGACAACTACGGCAGTAACATAACTGGACATGTCCGTCTGCATTGCGGTATTCAGTTCAAATTTTGGCGACCTTGTGCGCTCTGAGATAGGAACAGGACCCTGAGGAGCATCAGTAATGGACTGATCGTCTGGCTTGTAAAATGAGCCGATTGGTAGACTACCTGATGCTACCAGACAGTCAGAACATCTTTTTGACCTTATGCTCAGTAGCACGAACCAATTGTCTGATCCTCTTTTTGCGGCATTATGGCACCAAACAGCCTGTGGCAATTGACTTCAATGCCAGCGCACTCGATGTGTACAGTGTAATAGGTAGGTCCATACACATGATCGCAAACTATTGTTTCCGGTCTATTGCAGTCATTGCGTTATTTCAACATCACCATTGATCGTTTTCTTCAACGTAGGCCTTTACATACCCCATTAGACTGCTGCTATACTCTAGTACGTGCTCGCTTATGTGTGGCTAACGTGCCACGCCACGGCCGAATCTCCTTTCACTTAGCGCCTAAGTGCGACGTAGTTCCGGACCATCTCCTGATAGAGGCCTTCTTCAGCTTCCGTATCACTAGCCGTCGTCATCCCAAAGGTTTGTTTTGGTAAAGCTACAAGTGAGTGGTGATCGTACGGTGGTGACCGAACTTCATGCAATTGCTTTCTATATCGTGTGTCCGTAGATAAGGCTCTGTGTGCCATTCACGTCCCTGTTACCTACGACCAAGCAGGTCCTCCCTTCGTTGGTGGCTTCGTCCTGCAGCATGTAGTAGTAAACAAAGCCGAGCAGCTGCTGTGTTCGTGTCGTCCGTCGGCGCATGTTGCTGCAACTCACGTCTTCAGGCAGGTGTATAGTCAGCGACTTGAAACAGCACGATACTCTTTCGCTCCGCATTGTGCTCATTACGACAGCAACGTTGCGTTGCAGTAGCTTGAAGTATCCATTTGCTTGATCTTCCGCCACGTACGTCACGACCACCGAAGGTAGTCAACACGCACGAATAATACGTCAAGCGTACACGCGACTTGACGGTCCCTCGGGACGGATCCTTAAATTTGGTGCACCGACGGTTTTGTTGCTAATTATAGCCGCGCTATCCCTCCTTCCCTGATTGCAATGCACACAGGCACGGTCAGCTGAAAAACTTCGTACTCATTGACCGCTGTGGTTCAAGCATCAACAAGCCGACTTACTTTGTGTGAAGCATGTGTGAGGCATGTGTATCTACGACACTTTGCTTGTCATTGTATTGTGCAATCGCTCGTACATTAAACTCACTTGTTATCAACATCCTGACCTCGTTCTCTATCAGTCTTCAATCGACTACTAGGCTATGCAAAACAAAGGGGCGTGGCAGGTGAGTACCCGCTCTAAAGAGCAGCACAGTTGAGCGCGCCATTCAGCTTCCACTTAGTCGCTGCCATCACCCGATTGCCCGAGAAACTTCAGCCAGACACCACTGACGGGTTTACTTCAACCTCGAATAAGTTGGTGGCAGCACTTATAAGGCCTGCAACTGTAACACCAGTGATCAGGACCTGACTCGTCGCCTTTTTCGTGTAGTAGTTCTGTTGGACCTTGCTCTACTCCGAGTGAACCGCAATCGCATTTCTCACGTTGATCAGGTCGTTGTCGGTGAGCTTCACGTTAGAAACGAGGCCCTTCAGGTTGACGATGGTCTTCATGCGAAGGCCGTTGGAACTGTCGTGGATTTGGTTGCCTTGCACAGTGAGACCATCAACTGTCGTGGTTTGGTCCACAGATTTGCCTCCGAGAGATCCGATTAAGATCCCATGGCTATTGTAGCAGCAGTTCCCGATGAAAAACGTGTTGGTGCTTAGGCCGTCGGTGTTTTTTGACGATCCTGTTGCCGGTCCTGGAATTGAGTGTCAGTCTCCTGATCGTGGTGGAGATCGAGCGCACGACGCTGAATGTGCAGTAAAGCGAGTTTAACAGTGTAAACCCGGACAAGATAGAGGCGACGACCTTGTGCAACTTGTAGAAAACGGTACGAGTGATTTTCAGACCTCGCTGTCAGTTCCAGGCACCTTGGCAATCGAGCTTGCCGTTGCCAGTCACCTTCAGGTCATACCCACTTAGCACCACAAGAGGGCCGGCCACGCTGCTGTGCCGAAAGTGGTGGTGGTGCCCGTGAACTCAATCGTAGTACCCGCCATGACTCGACTCAAGTCCAGCATCACACTACCAGGGACAAAAAGAGATCCGATGGTGATGGCACGGCATGTAGAAATGTTGGTACCCGGTTTGTGCGTGCCCGTGAGGTTGCAGTTGCTACTGCTAGTGAGCTGCTGCTGCAGTTGCTGTTGTGGTTGATGCTGTTGTGATTGCTGCTACTGTTGTGGTTGCTGTTGTTGCTGCTGCTAGAGTCCCCCTTTGTCAGCTTGGAGGATGGGTCCACGTAGCGTGAGCGAGCCATTGGCAGTTGCGACCACCACCGCAGCGGAAGCAAATGCAAATGCCATTGGCTTCATGACTGCGTGCGGTCAACTGAGCGGTTGTTGAGGACGTCGTTAGAGCAGGCGGATTGGAAAGTGAGCTTGATAAGCGAGGGTCAGCATTGCTGCTCGAATGGCGTTGACGATTCGTGGCGAGGCCACTCAATCTAGTAGACGACGACCTTCCTGTGTACGATCGAAACGCTCAAGTGTTTGGTCTGTCGCTGTTTGTGTGATAGTACAGACTCGTGGCAGTCAAATGAACGCAAGTTCTATGAACAGCGACTGCTGCGTCGGACACTGGACGACATCTGCATAGTCGATGCAAACACCTGTCGTTGCACTCAGTAGAACGACAGTCGGCTACGATGCGTTATGCACTACGTCGCTGAATGCCAGTTATAAACGCAGTGAACGAAAGATCAAACGCTGGTCCTTTGTGAGTGTCCGCTACTAGCGATCTACATGGGCTGGACGGGGCGGAGCTGTTCAACGATTAGATTCCATGCTAAACGTTGTGTGTAGTCGTGGTCAAAGACATGGAATTGGAGTGCAGGGGGAGCCAAGGCGTGTCTTCGAGAGCTCCAGTCTGGATACTAAAGGTGTGGGATATGTGTTGGAGAGGCCACCTTAGACCACAGTAGTATCGCAGCTGTGTTAGTACATTGTCCTTCGACTGCACGGTACAAACTACGAGCAAGGATATCGTTTTGGTGCGCACACTGCTTCTGCTCCATTCATCTAATCGCTACGTTGTGTCTTGCATAGAGCGCGGCTCTGTAAGTATGTCTTCAATTTAACGATGCGTCGAGCACTGCCGTCGGAGTACCAGAAACGAATGCACGACTTGTGTACTTACGGTTGCTATTATTACGAGGGCAAGTCGTTGAACAAAAGCTTGGAGCGACGTCCGTACGTGTCGAAAAAAAAACGAGTTGTTTGCCAAACGTAATGGCAAAGACAATAGCTGTCACCAAAGCCATCGCTTTGTCTTCAGGATAGTAACTCGGTCGACAAAGAAGCTGAAACTTCAGCAGTGAGATCTAAGCTTTAGTTGACATGCTGACCCAAATTAATCGTGTACGAGACGTGTTCCGGGCGACTCTTTCTTTCATCTAACCACTTCCTCTACAGCTAGGCGTCGAATCGATTGAGCAACTAAATATCGTGGTATCATCCGTTCATTCAACGTGTAAAACGCACGAGGTAAGACGGCATCAGTCTTGGAAAAAAAGTGAAATACGCAAGGATGTTCTGGCCGGGCATCGTGTATTTATTGTCGATCATCTCCTGTGGTAACGTTGTGTACGTCATCGTAAGGTTGGCATCGTCAATCACTATACAATTGCCGCTAAGAACGACGACCGCATTCTCCACGTTTGATACGATGCGTGGTGTCGTTCATAGCAACCGACCCGTGTCCTCTTTGTATAGGTGCAGTATCCGCTCCAGTTGATTGTGGACTTCCCACTGATCGACTTGAAACGTGTCAGACAACATCACGAAAGAAGAGCCGGATCGAAATCTCCGGACCAATGCTAGACACGTTACGAGAGAGCAGCAAGCTGCATGTCAAGCGGTTGTCCACTGCTTTAAAGATGTACTACAAATGACGGCACTGTTATTTATTCGTGCCATGCACTGACAGTCAGCCTCGTCAAGGCTAGCGGGTACGTGACTTGCTCGATGAATGAGGCGGTAAACACGTAGGTATCAGCAGCACATTGTACGGAGCCCAATGCCAAACAAGTTATTGCTAGGTCGACCGAATCGTGAAGCCAGTAGGTTCACGTATTAGACGTTGGAATCGAACGAGGACGTAACAAACATCGACAACGGCTCCATTCATTTTATCGGCATCCTATGCACGCTACACTTACCATGAGGTTGTACGCCTAGTCACGAGACAAGTGGCTTCGACTACGGGAGATCACATGTTGAGGCTGTTGGGCATGCCAACCGTCGTTCCCTTCACCGACGCCTGGACATCAACGGCCTGGAAAATCCAGTTCGACACCACGTTCGGGTTGACTTTGATATCGTACAAGTTACCAGCCGTACCGGTGAGACCTGAGACGGTGACACCCGTGATCTGCACCTGACTGTTCGGTTTCCCAAGGTATCTGCCCATTGCCCTGTTGTAATCCGAGTGGAACGCAATCGCATACCTGACGTTCTGTACCTTGTTGTTGATGTACTTCACGTCAGCGATCAGCCCCTTCATGTTGCTGATCGTCTTGATCCGAAGACCGTTGTCACTGTTGATGATCGTGTTGCCCTCAACAGTTAGACCCCGCACCGTGGTCGAAGCGTCAACAGCGAGACCACCAAGAGACCCGATCGAGATACCGTGCGTACCATAGCAGTAGTTGAAGCTAAAGACGGTGTTAGTGCTCGACTGCATCGCGAGACAGTCATCCTGGTTGTAGATCGTGCAACCGGTGATCGTGACGCCGTCGTTCTTGGACAGGTCGAACCCGTCCGTGTTCTTGGCGATGCCGTTGCCAGCTCTCGAGTCGATCGTGATCCCCGCGATCACCGTGTTCTTGCACGTGACGACGCTGAACGTTCGGTAAGGCATGTTCTTGATCGTGAAGCCCGACACTTTCGAAGTCACGACGCTTTGAAGTCGGAAGAAGACTGGACGGGTGATGGACGGCCCCTGTTTCCAGTACCATGCTCCTTGGCCATCCAGGGTGCCGGATCCCTTGACGGTCAGATCCGTTCCACTGACCATCACGAGCGGCCCGTTCCACTGTTGCGTTCCGAACGTCGTGGTGCCCTTGAACTCAATGATGGCACCTCTTTTGGCCCTGGTCAGGTCCAAAGTCACGCCGCCTGGTACACTGAGGGAATCAATGGTGATGGAGCTGCACGACGAAATGTCAGTGCCTTTCTTGTACGTGCCCGTGAGGTTGCAGCTATTGCCGCTGCTGCTGGTGATGGTGATAGGGCTGCTCTGCTGGTCTTGCTGCATTGGGTTCTGAGGTCCGAGTTGGATCAGGTTCTTGTTCTTGCTTTCAGCTAAGGTGCGGACATTGGGGGAACCGTCCGTAGCGACAGTGAAGAGAAGGATAGCAGTGAGTGCCGAAGGGAAGATCTTCATCGTCGATCGCGAGTGTCGGGAGATCAGGTGGTTGCGCAGTTAGTTGGGAGTAGGTTGGTTGTGCTTGTGGAGAGACAATTGAAGAGTAAGTGAGTGGGTCGTTGCGCATGAATTTATTCGTGTCAAGCCTAAACTGTCGATCGACATGGTATACCTGTTGAAGCCCTTACTACATATTGGACTATGCAACCCCGTCGACAGGTTGACGAGCGAGAGCGTGGGATTGTCGCGTCGAAAGAACGAAAGACTGCAAAGACCGCAGCTGACGACTGGAACAAGTGTTTTGCTCGAAACCGGCAGCTGGACTTGCTTGTCGAAAGCCGTGGGGTAGCCAGGGCCCTCGACGACTGTCGTATGGGCTTCGTGCGCTTGTAAGCTCGTGCAGAGCTGGCTGTTTGGACGCAACCGGCACCCCCCCCTTGATTGTGCGGTCGTCAACCTTGTCCCTTTGCAAGCTGAAGGCTGCACGACGAATTATGAATGAAAGATAAGCGCCTGAGAAGAAACATCACTGACTGCTCGAGTGCTTACAGAGATATGATGTTAAGCTTGATGTGGTGTTGTCGTGCGCGGGAGCGGTGAAGTCGATGGCTAATCCGGGGCACAAACACGCGGTAGTCGGTTGACCACATACCACATGAAGTGTCGTCTTGACGTACCGCGAGTACTGTTTCATCCCCGCTGTCGACTCCTACCATTGATTTCCACCTGAACATATTGCCCCGACTCAAAAGGATGCTACTACGATCAGACATGGGCGCTCGCGATCGCGCAATAGTCTACGTACGCGCCGACCTATGACGTCTGGTTTCGCTGATTGCGAACGACGTGCTACCAACGGGACACGATTCCACGAATGATGTGCGAACCACCTACTCACCATCCGGTTTTCGATAACCAGTCGACAACGTGGCTCCCAATAGCCCGCCGGGATATCGCGCGTGGTCGCAAGGAAAGAGAGGGAACGAAGCACCACCCTGCTTCTACATCTTTGGTCTGATTGAAGCGTCACCTGGTAGCTTGAAAATGAACGCTCTAGACGAATGCGACTAGACATAAGTGGGGGGTTTCGCCAATTTGCTAAACAGCTTGACAATGAGCCTGTGCCGGATGTTGTACACGAAACTAGCAACCTTAGCTGTGCATGGTGATGATGATGATGATGTAGTGAGACCAGCGCCTTCATCTGTTGCAGCAATCGGCCCACCACGAGGCAAGTTGCGTGTAATCGGTAGTAATCAGTCGAGTTGCAAGCTAAAGACGCAGTGCACGCAGGCTGGTCTTTAACTTAGGCCCGACATGCGGTAGTCAACAGCTCAAAGGTGGCGCAAGTTACGCCAACTAGAGAAATAGGCTGTCTGCGGTGACCATCTCACGGGCTGGTATCACACCCGTCTTCTCTCCTGTCAATAGTATGTCTCGAGCATACCAATGCTGACTCGGAGAAGGAATTACGGTTTAGAGCGTCCGGCTTCAAGTCGAAGGGGTTACGCGAGCGCCATGTATATGGACCGCTCCTGATTTTTCACGACCACGATTATCGCTGGATGTCTGTGGTTGTTCACGAGAATGAATTGGTTGTTCGACACCGGCTGTTGTTCACTCGACTTCTGTATTTTACAGAATTCTTAGGATACGATGGGAGCCGTGAGTCGACAGTCTGAGCCGTTTGCTCACAGTTGGAGGTATCAAAAGCCCAAATACTAAGTGAAGGGGTGCAATTAAGAGGTTGAATATGTAGCAACATGTCGTGGCGAGCCTCTCGAGAGCGAGGTGAGATGTACGGTGGGCTATAAACTATTCCGCTCACTCTCAGTGCGAGCCCAACGTGAAGCGCTCTCAGTGCATCGCCCTTTCATGCTGCAGACGAAAGGAAGAGCGCCCACTTTAGACATTAGAAAGAAAGGGTGACCGCAAGCGGTCTACATCGCGTGTCTGTTACCGGGGCAAGAGCCCGTGAGGGACGCTACTAACGGTAGGGACGCTGGTACCAGCAGGCGTGGGGTAGTTGCCTGGGAAGCCTTCGATGATGTTTATGCACAGGACCGGCATCGAAATTAAAGGTGGCGGACGCAACATCAGGATAGCACGCATGAAACGATACAGGAAGTAATACGACGAAAAGTAATTGATGCAAGAGTGGAATACACTGGAGCTACAACTTGTTGCTAGTTGCTTGACCAGATTTTGGCATCAAGCGTGCACTACTCACGGCTCGAATGTTAATTCAGTACTGGTAAGGGCACAAACACGAAGCTTCCATGTATCGACACTTACCTAACGCGCCTCGCGGCGTAACCCGTGGGTTATTACGAAGCTCTAAGCTCATTGTACAAATTAAACAAGGTTACCCGCTTAGCGTCATAGCATCTTGTTTGCAGTATCGCGCTCGCGCTATTCCAGCGATCCTAAAAAAGGTGGCGATGCAGGATAAAGACTACGGATTAATCATGTGCTGCAGGATAACGTGTCAATGTGTCAAATTTGTAATGCATTGTACTTTGTCATCGACAGATCGACATGTCGTAACATATTAAAGGGACTGACAAAGTGTACGTTGATTGGCGTGCACCGTGCATAAGAATGACCATAGAAGCTCCATCATTGGTCGACTACATTCTCAGTAAATGTACCGAAATGTTAATGGGACACCGGTCGCTTGTACTGTCACAGTACAAGCTGCTTACACTGAACACAGAGTAAGCTGGTGCCACGAGACGTCACGTACACGCGTCGTCCAGAAAAAGGTTTTTACACGAGATAAAGGTTAAAAGTAGAACATCAGTTAGTACAGTTAATCTCCTGTTACTAAATCCTATTGAAGATTCATTTAACTATGTCGAAATACAAACATATATTGTAACCATCTGCTAACCACTCATTGAGTTCTTCTGTCGCAGCTCGGCTTTAGTGGTGAATATTAAAAATCAATATCAACCAATGAGCAGCGCATTATTTCTGCAACACAATATTTCTTTTTTAGCAATATTGTGAGAACGTTTTGTTTTGTTTGAAGAGAATACTCACGCTTGACATTTAGCTTGTATAAACTATCGTGTAACGAAGGCAACCCGTAACATCATATACCCGAGCCATCAGTCACATTAGTGACTGATTGATGAATGAGTGACCCCAAAGAGTGACTTTAGGAAAGGAAAGCACTTATTGGTCAATTCCATCAGTTTCTTCGTTCTCCTGCATAGATAATAAGTCCATGCGGTGAGCAGACAAAGATTCTGTGAATGCAGAGATCAGATTACGATCGGCTGCGGCAGATAAAGCAAAGGCCTTGAGTGTAGCAAGCGACAACCTGCCTGCTGCTACTTCTGGTGTAGGCTCACGCGGTATGCACCGAGTGGGCTTGGAGATTACGACCTTGAGCTTATACACTCTGGCGAGTTGAATGGCGATACTGACTCGACGAAGGCTGCCGAGGAGACGGTTACAAAGGTGAGCACAGATCCAAACAAGTGGGTCTCGCGAAGCGCCATGAGCCTCGTTAAGCTTCGTGACATCTTCGGATCGTCCGAAGGGTCGGACGCTCCGTTGTAAAGGCGGAGTCGTTCGCTTGATAGTCTTTAAGGCGGTGACAAGAGCCAGTCGAAAACCGATGACGGTGACGCAGTAATGCGCTACAAACAAGACGACTCTGCTGGACGTGGTGTCAGTACTTATATAGACAACACGCAGGAGGCTAGAGATCGCGACTGTCGGCGCGTCGCTCTCGTGAAAAAGGCGTGGCTGCCTCCTCATAGAGTGTTGGATCTCTTGTACGACACGGTCAGCGATCTTTATCTAACAAGTTTTTCGATTTATTAAGACCTCATAACCTTGACTCTAGTGCGAGTGACTTTCGCGCTGAGCATAAGTTATACAACGATGCATTCTTCAAACATCGATGGTAAAGGGGGAACAATAAACGTGATGATGCCTTGCTGATCCAGGCGTGGATGCGTTCATCCACAGCGTTAGGCAGATTGGACGTGAAGCCTGGATTGACAAGTTGACGCTGTCTCGCACTCGGTTTGAAAAGCGGACGTCTACCAGTGCACGCTAAAAACTATATCAACAATCGAGAGAGGCCGGGTTACTAAGCTTCTTCTGGGGTTTTGCGTGCCAACGCTGTTTTAAAAAAATTGGCAAGGACTTCAAAACAAGCGAATTCAATGACCAATTCCTGGTATGGGGCTCATGTCTCGTTGGGATGAACGAGGGAATAGCTAATCTACAAATCCTCTGCACACGCGCTAGGCGTTTGATCACCTATGGGTCTTCTTCAGCATCGGATTTGCCTTGTCATAGCACCTGACAAGACCCAATAAGTCCACCATCAGTTGCGGGCGAGGTTCCCAACTATCTGCTGAGGGCTCGTAGCCGTAATACCGAACGAGGTAACTCGTTCGACTTCCTTTCACATCGAGGTGGTTCAACAGTCGTTTTACGAGGAAGCGCTGACCACCGCGCGTATCAACCAGTGCTTGAGGTAAAGGAGGAAACACATTCCTCGATAGTTTTGCGACACCTATCTGTTGCTGTGAGTCATCTCGACCGCAGACGTGTGTGTTGCGCGAGGACCTCATACACGATAAAGAGGCAGGCTTCTGGATTTTTTAGGAGAATTGAAACACCTGAGCTCAGATCGGGAGAAGGACAGGGAAGAGCATGCCTTTAACCAGCTGGAGAATTATCGGGAACAGTGTTCTCTCCGCGACGATCTGATGGAAGCTCGTCAGGATATCCCTCGGCTTCTCGGGAAGAATCCGGAACTCTGACGCGGGCTGAGATCCAGCTTCTTGAGTACAAGTATCTTTTGTAGATGCTCGAGCGCAAGGGCTGTCTTCACCAGAAGAAGTCTTGTAACAATGTCACGGCCTAAGGCAACTGACGTAGAACGTAGGATCGTTCGCATTTTGCATGGCACTTCGATCGTATTTGCACTGCCTTGGAGGTGCAGCACACGAATTGGACCGATAAACTTGTTTAGTAACTTGTTTCTACCCACGTTAGTCACTTTGTGTCGAGGTAGGTTTACCTTAGTTATTAGGACTAAGTCCTCGTTATTGAATAAAAAATCTTTGCTCTTCCATTCTCGTCAGCAATCCTTTTTTGTCAATCTACCACCTCTCTGATAGAGTCTTGTACGAAACGTACAACCGTTTTGCGAGCAAGCATAAATACAGCGGCTGACTTGATGTCTTAAGCTACAGTACCCTAGGATCGTAAAGTAGATCGATCACTTTTCGTCTTTGCGATTGTGTCTTTAGGCGCACTAGGCGTAGTGCTGATTCGATCAGTATCGTAGTAAGTGGGAACGTCCTCACCCTTACCTCCTCTTCTTCACCAAATTCTTAGTGATCGACATCGGCGTCGAACGT